CTTGCAGGTCAGGCAGGGGTACACAGGTGACAGCTTCTCTTCGGCTTTCAAGTCTCATTGCATAGCCACTGATCATTTTGGCCGGGACATGTGGTGGGTACGGCGGGTAGTGTAGTTTCGAGAGCTACCTGAAAGTGTCTGTGTGCGTGCGTGTGTTTGCCTTTGCGTTTGCGCTCGTGTGTGGGTGGGGTGCATGGGTACGTGAGCGTGTGGGTGGGCGGGGTGGGTGTGCGCAGGCGATGCAGCAAAACGTGACGTGTACGGAGCGCCGAAGCCCGAACCTTGCCCGAAACCCCGAGTGAAGCCACGTGCAGCCACTGGCCTGAACGGCAGGAGCCCACTTGTTCCTTGTTGCAGTCGCAGCTGCAGGCCTGGTTTTCAGCAGACGAACATTAGGGATCCTGCGACGGAGTGCAAATCGAAGCAGCAGTCCTGGTGAGAACACAGGCTTCTATGTCAATCGCAGTTGTGCTGATGAAAAGTGAAACAGAGGTGCTGCAAGGAATTGTGGCAAGTTTATCAACGGTTTACGTGATCGTAATCATCGTGGGGAGACCAGTGCAACATTAGTAGAACCTGTAGCACAAGCAGTACCAGCCAGCAGTCCCAACATGTTCCTTCCAACCATTTTCCACACTGGTGTTTTCGGTGTCGGACCAGTTCTGTAGAGAGACAAAAATTGAGACATCCCGAATTGAAAACCGTTTTGCCTGTGAAGCGGTAGGAACGAGGGCAAGAGCACCAGTGAACAGGACCATTTAGGTCGATGGCACGCGCCATAGAAATAGCAGCCCGGATAGCTGTGATGCTAGACCAGGCGAAGGTAGTGATGCTGCAGAAGGCGAAGGTAGCAGGTAGGGGTGGTGCTAGGTGCTTGAAGCCTGGCTGCCATCGATTGCTCTCGGAGATGAAGACATCTCGATGCGGCTGCCAGAGCTTCCGTGGCATTTGAGATGTTTCCTGCATTTCTTAAGTCTCAGACTTTGAGCCTCACCCGAGCGGCACCATCGCAAGTCCTGAGTAGTCCGATGAAGAGACCGACAGAAACACAGACTGAACCATGTTCCCGACTTTTTCCCGACTTGCTGTTCCCGCATCCGACCTTGACGCCGGTTGCATCCTACTCAACTTTACACTGCAAGGGACCGAAAGGAGTACAGTGGCTTGACTGTTGAGCAGCTAGCAAACACGGAAGTACGCTTGCAGCTATTTGTCCGTGGGATTGTCATCCATTTTGTTATCGTTACTGCACTTGAGGTAGCGGTTTTCCGGTCCGTTGCAGATGAGGCCCCTGTCGCTGTGGTATAGCCTAGAGATCATTTCATTGACACCCGTCGCCTCCCTGCCTGTGGTTTGGGCTGGTTTGGGTGATGGGTTCTGTTCCGTTGCGAACCGTTGACTCGTGTCTGCAACCTGCCCCCACAAGACGCGATCATGCTAATCACGACTACTTGCCAGCTGCTTTTGCCATGTCTGAGATGCTAAGTCAGAGAGCACGTATATGCCCTAAGGAGAATGAAGATGAAATTCTCGCTTCTTGGCTAACAAAGCATGACTTTTCTGTTGCGCCAGGTATGCAGCCAAGACATTTCGATCCTTCCCGTCCTTTGATCAGCCTCAGGCCCTGCACCAAGCCTTTATGTCCGAGCCGTTCTAGATGCAAGGCGCGCGCTTGCTTCGGCCTTTGGCGTTAACAGATTGGCATTCAGCTGAATGTGTTTTCACGGTTTCACGGGGGGCTGGCCTTTCCAAAAACAGCTCTAGACTTTAGATACCTTCCGAGCCTTGATGATGTTTGTTATGCTGTTGCATGTGAGCGAAAAGGCATGGCAGGTGGCGTGGCCGCCCAGAGCTTCTTAGTTTGGGGACGTTTGCCCTGCAACACCAGCGGCTTTTTAGGCCCGAGCGGTAATTACTTTGGTTCGCAATGGTCCAGCGAAGAGTCTCTCTCCCCAAAAAGTTATTTTGACTCGTAAAGGTTTCGGAGTGCTTTAGCTGTGGGCCTTCAGGCAGCGGCCGAGGATTAGGAAGCTGTACTAAACGACATGAACGGCAACATCAATTACGTTGGCACCATTTCACGAGGTCTGTTTGAAGATCTGTGAAAACAGTGCAACATTCTTTACGTGTGCATTGCATGCCTTCGCCTCAGGCCGTGCGATCGTCCTGCAGGCGTAAGCGCCATGGACGGAAACGGCATGTGAGTGCCGGGCAGAAGCGGAATGTGAGTGCAGGGCTATTTGTTTTTTTTGGAGTTGCCAAGACCGAGTCAGGCAAAGGGAATGACATGCCGACATGCCATTACAAACTCTTCCATTGCTCAACTCTTTGAAACGCCGCGGTTTCTCAAGTCTCATGACTGAGAGCCCTTGCAAGCAAAGCTTTTGGATGCCGGGCTTATGCAGGCAAGGCCTCGACACCACCGGGACATTGGGTATTGCTTGTGTCAAGGCATGTGGCGCAGACACGGGGATGCAGGTTTGCCTGGTTAACATTGGCTAACTACTGCAGAATAAAGGCAGGTCGGATTCAAGACCTGGCACATCAGCTTGTCTATACGACATCCTGCGATTCAAGAGAATTCCGTATGGTTCGCGCTGTTATGGCTTTGAAGAAGATAAGGCATACGATCGAATCACCGAGAGCCCGATGGCAAGACCCTGACATTTGCAGGGACCTTCGTCTCATTTGAGAGTAGCCCGGCAGGCTTACTCGCACTCAGCAACCAGAGTCTTCTGCCCAAGGTCCAAGACCAGTGAATGACATGGGAATTTTGATCAATGGCTTTCTCAGCGTAGCATCTGGCCCGAATCGGCCCCTTGAAGTTCCAACTTTTGCGAGACGCAGAGCGACAACCGAGTGCGGCGTGCGGTGCATTTCCACAGCCAAAGGCTTGAGCTTTTTGCACCGAAGACGTACAGCAGAATGTTTAATTTGGGTGCAGTGGGGGCTTAGTAGCTTGCCAGCCTTGAACACATGCAGACAACGGAATAGACCCTTCTGCCAGCCCTTTGATCGAAAAGGTTCGATGTAATTCACTCTTGCAAGGTTCGCAGGTGGCGCGGTGTCTCACCGTATCCAAGCTATCCAAGCTAACGCGGTCCTTCCGGAAGCACTGGTCCGAGAGTTGCTGCTGTTGCATCACGCCCCTCTGAGTTTCCTGATCCATAAATTAACCGCCACGAACTCGGCCCCTTGCCGAGTTGTTTTCTTCCTGCTGATGGAAAGCTGACACGGTGCTTGCAGAGTCGTAGCAGCGGATCCAGGATGCAATATGACCCCTTTTGCTTGCATGTAGGGAGCTCCTGTGAGGATCCTTACTCCACTTTGGGCACCCGTTGGTTTCCCACAGCCACTTACAGCTGCTTCACCACGCTGCCAAGGCTGCGGCATACCATGTGCCGCAGGCAGCAGGCAGTTCTGATGAAGCCTTTGCCTTGCTTGCTGCACAGGGAGTTAGGGCAAATGAGTTTCATCCAGCAGGTGAGCGAAGTGTTGAAACTGCGGTTGTCGGGCTTGGACTCGCGTCGTGTCCGGCACTGCGAGCTTTCGCGACAGCCGCATGCGCACGTTCTGGGCAGACGCTTGCTTGTGATTGATTATCCAAAGGATGTCGGGGTGGCCGCTGGCATTTTAAAGCATGTCAAGGTTGCAACCCATGCCTGAATTAACGGCAAGTCCGAGCTTCGCTGTCACCCTGATCTCACGACTGCTTTCCAGCTGAGCTTTGTGCCAAGCGTGACGCACTGCCGTGGCTCGTTTCAGATTTGCGGAGCTTGACATCTAGACTCTAGCCTCATAGGGGCTTCTCTCCGCAATGCAGTTTAACATCAAGCCTCATAGGGGCTTCCTCCGCAACCTGCAGCACTCTGAAGCATTCCAAGAGGTGTTCGAGAAAGGTCAGGTGTCAGTCGAAACAGAGCCGTATCCGCTTGATGAGGGCCAGGCCGATGGCAGACTCACCATGTTAAAATGAGGGGTAACATCAAAGGCGGCAGGATGCGTGTTCAGCGAACATGGCCGATCACCCGGCAATGCCTTTCACTTGTGAGTACCCAGGAGAGCTTGGCAGCATAGAGTCCGGGTGATCGCTATTCCGTATACGTCTTTTCCCCACGAAGACGGGAGCAGGCAAGATCCTGATAGCGACTGAAGTCAGCGGCCTGGAGTTCCTGTAGTATCTTTGAGGACCAGGTCTTCGATGACAGGTCCCAGCACGACAGCACACCTGGTTGGGGCTTCGCAAGCTGCAAAGCTTGAAGATAATTGAAGATAGATGCGGGGTTCTCGCGCAGAATCGCGTGCTATGTGTATGTCCTAAACTATGAATCAGATCCGGTCTTGCTTCGTGAGGCAAAATCACAGGCTTTAGACCTCAAGGCACCGGGAAAGGTGTGAGAGGGTTCAGAATACCCAGCGAACTGCAAAACAATCGTTTTTGTTGTTTTTGCGACTCGGTCGTTTCGGGGTCCAAGCCCAATGCAGGTTTAAAGTTTAAAGCTTGCCTCGACATGAGTTACCGTTGCTGCATTTCTTTGTGAAGCACCGTGTTCTACATCCAAGCTCAATGTCTTTTCTGCGAGTTGACGAGCTTGTTAGTTTCCTAGTCTAGCGTGTCAGACGCTGTCAGGATCTCGGTAAGGTGACTGTTCAGACCCAGTTGCATGCAAGTGCCGTAGAAGCAGAGTGCGAAAAATGGAGGACCGAGAGGATGAGACCCCTCCTTCTGACACTATTGTTACTGCTGGAAGCAGTTTCCAAAGTAATCAGAGGACCGAAGGGTACTCAAAGCTTCGAAATCAGCGATGTGGCTAGAGTGGCCGACGTGATGAGCTGCTGCGTCCTGTCCTGGCTCAAGGTAGGGATGCCGTAGTCTTACAGTCGTACCGGTAATTGTGTTTGCGACCTGAACTGCGACATAAGCCACTTGATACTTATTGGTGATCCCAGAGCTCCCTCTTCACGCGAAGATGGAGCACGCTGGCAGGGCCTGAGGGCTCATGAGCGATGGCTTAGTGGCCGGAGGCTAAGATTGAGGGTAAGATTGTTCAACCAGTTTCTGCCTTGCCCTCTTCAACTTCCCGAAGGTTGGAACATACTTGGCCGAGCAAGTTGCTTTGACGAGCTATGCGTGGCCCTGCAGCAGCCAGTGCCAGTACAAAACATCTCGATTGCCTGCACCCAGCCTGCACCTGCGGGGAGGCTCCTTTCTGTGAGCCAAGCCGATGCCAAGCGCAGCCAAATCTCAGCAGTGCCCTCTGGACCACGGGTGCCGCCTGCCTGACAATTTGCCAGTCCTTGGCTTTGGAACGGGAAGGACTGGGCCGGTCAAAAGTGGACCCACTCCTGAAGTCTGACAGAGGGTTGGCATGCTGTATTCAGGCTTTCACTGCAAATGAGAGCATGTTTGCACTAAGGAAACGACGGCTGACGCTGGCCGGGCAGTTGAATTGGTTTGGCAGTAGTCTTCAACGAGCACCGATGCGTAGACAGGCTCCGGACGTAAGCCGACGGTGCGGCTGCTCTGCCAGTCATTTGTCGACTGTCGGTCTTGGAGCTTTCTGTTCCGTCTGAGCCGAGGAGAGACCACAACAATTTCAAAGCTGACACGCTTCCCGCTTTGGTACCCTGGCCGGAGACTGCATGCGCGGGATCTGTCGGGATGGGCTGTTGTGACTGCAACCATTCCGTTTTCGCAAGGATGGTGAGCTTGAGCCAGGAAATTTATTCCGTCGCGGTCTCCGTGTGTCCAAAGTCGAGTACTCAAAGGGTGTTCTAGATTCCAGATTCTACTACACCGGCGACTTCGCTAACAGACAGGGCACGCGTTTCGGGAATCTGCGCTCCCGCCACTTGCTGCGACCATGAGTAGCTGCTTCGATTAGAGCAGCCCCTACAGTATTGGTACAGGTTTCGATGGATCCAGGACTTTTCACTTTCTTTTCGATATGTCTTGATTTGTTTTCCTGGATTGCCGACCTGAAGCTTGTTTCCCCATGTTCCGCTGTGTTTTGGCTTCCCGATGCTGTACTCCTTTGTGATCTCACCACCTTCCATGTCGCTCTCCTTGTGAAATCCACTACTGTGGCGCCCTGACGCCCTGCTCGTGCTCCCGACACAGCAGTGTGCCAGGATAGCACAGCGGTGTGCAAAATAAGGCGTGTACGCTGCTCACTACCTGAAACTTGAGAAAGCCCGCCCCCTTCGCATGCAGATTATAGTATGTCCGGTCTTGTGTGTCATAGTAGGCCTCTTGACGACATGCCGAGATGCTGATCTTTGAAGCAAGCTTACCTTGCTGACAAGAGCGCAACTTGACTTGCAGCATACATCGTAAGCTGTTGCACGACACGCTACAGTAGAACGTCATATACATGACACTACTATTCTACAGTGCAGGTTGTAGGGCATTTAAAAAGGACCACATATGCACATGAATAGGCAGGTCAGGAGGCAAGCAGGTACTCGTAAGTCAGTGGGTATATATGTGCGTGCATATATCCTACAGCACATGCTGTGAAAAAACGGCCAGAAACAAGTCCTGGGCTGACAAGGCCGGAAAGCTGCGACAAAGCCAAGAAGCCGCAGACGATCTCCATCCAAGCAGGAAATCAGAACGGCCCAAAGTCGAAGAGCCAAAATGTCTCATTAGATGCCGATGCAGGGGAGCAAGTTTGCATGAAGGCACAAAACGAAGCCGGACGAATTTCACAGCACACCTACGAATTCAATTTGGGGAGTGGCAAGAAATCGGCCTATGTCTAGGGCTGAATTCGAGCTAACCGCCGCATCCGCAAGGTCAGTCTCGATCCGCTTCTTCAGGGTGCGACCACTGCTGTCGAAGGCCCAGGGCCAACTGCGGCGGCCGAGACACAACGCCGCGTGGCTTCTGCTTCTTTAAGCGAGGCATTTGTGAGGCTGCTCTGCACACCGCTTGCTATTTTCAGGTTTTTTTGGGTATGTTAGGTGCAAGCAACCCACTGACTCAAAAAGGGCAAACCAACTGGAATAAGTGTTGGTTCAACCTGCACAACAACATTGAGTTGCGGCCTAGCAGTATTTTTTGCATGTTGTGATTTGTCCCGGTTAGGGACTGGCGGCTAATGTGTATTAATTGTGTTGCTTTTTTCTGGTTTGCATTGAGATTGTCGTCGTTTCTATGCCTGTATACATACACGTACATAGAGTCGCGCATGTGGCTTCCATCCAAGCCATCATGTACTGCTCTCGCTATGTGACATCACAAGGTTCTCTGTCTGCATAGTTGTCCTTGTGGGAATCTGCAAGCGTTAAGTGTCGTTTCTCTGAATTCAGCACATGAAATTAATTTGGCTGAAGCTTTCATATGCTCGGGCTCTTATCCCTCAAGCACTACAGTGCAAATACGTGTGGAAGGTTGTTTCATGTTTTTTTTGGCACGGCTTACAGTCGTAGTTTATCTTCGCTGTTGCTATGACCACCGCCTGGACAAGTGACCGGTGCTACTTCTGTCTGGATTTTCTGATTGCTTCTGACGTACTCTGTTCATGATTGCGGCCGGTATTGCTAGCTTAATTGGTGCCTCGCTTACGTCAGGATGATCGCAAGTAGCACCTACCTCTGACATGCTGGTGAGATGTTGCACGTGCTTGGCGGTCGTCATGCTTTCTGAGAGTTTGTCGCCGGTTCTAGTTTGCCTGAGGCCGCATGCGGCTGACCCACATCGAGATCTCCTCTGCACGCCTTGCGGAGGGCAGGCGAGTATTGATAATGTTGCGAGTGGTGCTACTGACGATGCAATGACATTCATGCTATTGGCCTGGCTAGTTAATCTCGCTGGTGCTCATGATTTGTCAGACTCATGACAGTAGTAGGATTATTCATCCTTAACTTCGCGTGGTGATCTGCACTGGTATTCATGCTACCGTTTTATTAGTGTGCTCATCGACTGGGTTCATTGCTCAGGCTGCGAGTGTTTTGTTTGGTCATATGATGCGGTGTTTCCCTGCGTTCTTCCAGAGGGATCCTGAAACCAACAAGAAGTAAAGGAACCCGTGAAAGGACGAATCTCACTCTAGACTCTAGACTTTAAACCTTACATATAGACAATATACTCGGGGCCATGTATCTTATTTATGCTGAGAATTTCGCATGTTTCTAGTTTCATTTCGTTGGTATCAACACATACTGTCATTCTGTATCCCCAGCACTCCTTGCGATGAGCCTCCCTTGCGTCCCAGAAGTCCCAGGCAGACTTGGTCTACAGACCGCCCCACGGCAGATCAACCACCTAGCCGTGGCGACTGCCAGGCAGGAAACATGCTGGTCGCTTTATGTCATTCAACAGGACAAGCCGCTGGCCAACAGTCATACAAGGATCTAACGTCACAGCAGATTCATCAAGAGCAACAGCCTGCAATGGTAGAGTGGTCAAAGTATCGGACAGAAACTGGACGAGCAGAGTGACCGGACCGCGTCATGGAGTGACAGGCTCAGCATGTTGGCAGCATACTCGGCACAGAGAGGGCTCGACGCCGAAGAGCACAAAAATGCAACTGAGCGTGTTGAGAGGCATCGTGCCTGTTCCTTGAGTAGCTGACACAGCGCATCCGAGTCCTCTTCGAAAGGGGAATTCTGGGCTTCCTGCGATGCATGATTCAAGCACACTCAAGCCAACGGGGTTTCCCGAAATCCTGCAGGCCATCGCCAGCTTGACTGCGCCGTTGCCTTGGTTCCGACCAGGCCGTATCGGTTTACTGTCTACGAATGAGGGCTGCCGGTTCGGCGTCATCTTGGCTGCTCCGCCAAACTCTGAAGCATGTTTCTACTGTAAACGACGGGGACCGGAAACCAGGTCGGAGCGGCCAACGGGCGGTCATTACGCGAGTGCGCAAGGACACAACAATCCTGGTTTGTAAAAGTTCTGCTTTCTGCCCCATTCGCGACTTCGAGCTCATATATGGTCCCACCATGTCCCACCAACAGGCAAAGGTTTGTTCGCTTTATGGATATTGGAGTGTTGCAGGTTTCTAGTACTGCTGGACAGCAGAGCAGATACAACACAACACGGTCGCGTTGTGCCAGGACCTAGATGGGCATAGATGCGCTTAGAGACACTACTGTAGATGCTCGCGATGTGTACGGTAGCTAATTCTCATGCCCAGAAATCACAGAACTTGCTGGGAACTTTCCGGAACAAGCACAGTGGATCCATGGTTCGTCCGATGCAGCTGGGCCAGGGGCGTCTATGCTCAGATTTCCAGCTTTGACCAGGTGCTCCCGAGCCAAAGAAAAGCCTCAAGAAGGCCAGATCTCGACGAGGCCCGGTCGGTGCCCCGTGAAGCCCGATGTCTGTTCGATGATGAGCGGAAAGTTAAAGTCGTTCTCGGCCCAGTAGGCGTGACAGCATGGCGTCAACCGGTTGAAACGATAAGTTTGTGCGCAGCTGTGCACGATGCTGAGCTCCGGAGGTTCGGCGGGATTCTCCAGCACGACAAACCCATGGGACGGCCAGGGAAGTGCAACAGCTAGTTTGCCCCAAGTGCCGCCTGCAGGGCTTGGAAATTGCGGTTGCAATCGGTGACATGTGAGTGCATGAGCCAGCCAGGGTTCGTCCTAGAAAAGCGCATCTGCGAAGATGTTCCTTTGTGTGGCAGCCGGTGTCTGCCAAAGTCTGGCAAGCTTCGACCCCAGGACCTCTTTTCCGAGAGCCTACGCGGCACGGGCGTGGTTTGGGCCTCAGCTCTACGTTCCGAGGTTTTGTGTTTGAACGCTGCCCAGGATTTCCTTCGTCAAATTCTCTTTAGAGTTGCATCGAAAATCGTAGGCTTCGGAACAACGCATTTGCACACCGTGCGGATGCTTCCATTCATGAGACTCCAGGAGCGGAGCCCGCGGAAGCGGTCGCCTTCGCCGCCGCGGAAGCGGGATGCAGGCGAAAGTTGCTCGGCACCCCATTGCTTCAAGGCTTAAGTCAATAGAATGAAAGGGCAGATAGTTTACTCGGATGAGGCGAAAGAGATCGGTTGCTGCCCCTGCTTGGGAGTTGCGCCTTGCAACAAACCACAGAGTTTGAAGAATTCCAGCCAGACGAAGGCGCACATGAACAAGCAGCATCGGGGTTGCTAAGGGGCGCCTCGTGACCTCTTCCACTTTGGCTTGGCAGAGCAGCCGCTGCTGCCCGAGGATGCCGTTCAGGCGAAACTGAAGGGAACTGACCAAAGTAAAGCTTTGTGTAGCGAGTTTGTCTTTCCCGAATGGGAAAGCTCATTGCCGACCTTGGCATCAGTGATAGTTCTGCCCCGTTGCGAGCTACAGATAGTGCAGATCGCGCAAGCCAGACCCTCCAGGAACTTCGTCTGTTCGGTGTCACCGCTAGGCCAAGCTAGCAGACTGCAGTGCAGTTGCACCAGGTCACCAGACAATCATTTGAACATGGGCACGCAGCTCCTTGTTTAGAATCTGCGCAGATTGAGCGTTCATGTGCCCTGTTGCTTCTCTGGGTGTCAGCCTGGCAGTCAGCCTGGCAGCCAGGCGTACTTCGAGAGCGAGAAAGCACGGACCCGGTCTCAGCATCTACCCAACGCTTGGGTGTTGGGCTAAATTGGATCTGGTCCATGGGAGCTACCTGTAATCAGTCTCTATAGCCACTTTGCAGTCTCACGAGCTTTCCAGGACTTGGGAGCACTTGCAAAGAACACCGTCAGTAAAGTGAGGCTCGGAAAGTACGTCTGCTGAAACTAGACTCAGGACATCCACATGCCAATGGGGACCCATGCAACGACAGGAATTCGAGTTTGACAACCTAGTCCAAGTTAAGTCTTCGTCTCACAACCTGCAGACCTAAAAATGCTGATTGGAGCCTTGCGATTTGTTCTTCCTTTGGCTTTTCGAGTTGTGGAGCTGACCCAGAGGATACCTTGCTGGCAGCCTGGCGACTGTTTTGGGGATCCAGGTACAAGTGTGGTTTGTGGCTGAAGTCTGTTTGGAGCAAGCAGGCAGCATTGCATGTTGGGCCTGCGGTACTGCTGTACCCTCCGAGGACGGATCAACTTCACGAAAAGGAGAAGGAGCCGAAAGAGCTGGAAAAAGTGGATGGGCAGCGGAGGCTGGCTTGAGTGGCCGTTGGTAGGCGATGCATGTCAACATACGACTGCGAATTTCGATCCGAGCTGTCGCCATGTGGCAGACGAAGGTATGCCATCGTCAAACCACTGCCGCACTCCGACAAGGTCATTGGTCAACGTGACTTCGTGCTGTTGCTTGTCTTGAGAGCTTGCATTGCAGAGAGAGGGGCAGTTTGGCCTGCACCGGACATTGTCGGAGCAGCCCGGTCTGTAGAAGTTGGCTGATCGGTCCGGTCAGGCTTCGGCGACGCAACAGCTACGAACCAGTGTGCCAGTAAATTTAAATACACTGGTAGACAATGGTATACACTGGTCAAGCCGAGCACCCCAAATCACAATTCAAAGGGTCTATGGTCCGATTTAACTTGCATCGACAAATCATGGCTCCAGACGAAAAACGCGGATGGACCTCAGATGTGAGCACCAGGAAACCAAATTCACAAAGGAGCAGTGATCTTTGGAAACCCGCGCATGACTGCCAGGACCGTATCAGAAACAATTTGCAGCACCAGCAATGCACAATTGACGGAAGAAGAACACCAATCAGTTAGCATCTTGGTCCTTGCTGATCACAAAGGCACCAATAAAGCACCTTATATGAATATGGACGCATAGTCAAACACGCGCGCAAGTTCGAGCTTTTGGGATTCAGTTTCAGATGTCAGCTGTTGAGCGGCCCAACCCCAAAGGTCAGACAATGGCATGGAACTGCAACAGAGTCAACGTGTTTCGCGGAGGTGCACAGAGAACCGCTGCGAGTCCTGCGTGACTCTTGGCTTTGACAAGATTTGTGCTTGCCTTGGCGCACGATGTCTGCCACCAACAATGTGAACAGCAATGTCTGACTTTGATCAGGAGTCCAAAAAGTCGGAGCCTGCCGACCCGTTGATGGAAGGAGATGCATTGGACAGGCCAGTTGGCTCTCGGGCAATCCATGTGGCAGGGACTGCGCAGGAGTAGCCCATCCTCGAGGCCGATTCATGTTACCCAGCCATGTCAGGACAAAGTTCTTCGCGGAACTTCTCGACCAAATGTTCTTCAAGCAGAAGTTTAGATGCTGGGCCTGAATGAATTGGTTTGTGTGTCCATGAAGCCGAAAGACACATTCCCGAAGAGGCCAGCTACTGCTCACCGAAATAATTAATTAGCAGTAATAATTAGCAGTAGGAGTACGAGTGGTGGCAAAAGCAGCCGCAAGCGAAGAAGCAGCAAAAGCAACCACGAAGTGCTCACAGCAGCTTGGTCTTTGTTGTGGGGATCCACTCCTTGCAGTCTTTGTTTCAGAAACTGGTCCCTCCGCTCTCTTTCCCTGTAAGGTCCTGTCCGACGGGACGCTTGCCAGCTAACGCGCATGCCGCACAGCTGCATGCAGCTGCAAGGGTCTCCCTCCAGGTGTCCTGGCATTTCTGTATGGGGAGGCTTTCGGCGATGTCCTAGAGAACTCAGTATTTCCGGCAGTGTTTGCCTTCCGTTTTCATGTTTCCAGTTTTCACGGGCTGCTTCCTGATAGCATGCTGTGCAAAGCCTCTCGCCACACCGTCGCGGCTCAAGCTGTCTAGCTTCCCGCTTGCCGGTCTTGTTTGCCGGGGCTTGCACTCGTGCAGCTTTTAGACGATCGACGTGTGCGATGTCAGCAATGGTAACCGAGAATCAGCCCGGACCCCTAGAAGCCAAGAAGCACAGCCTGATACAGCCTGGCTGCACTCCTCGATTCACTAAGCCACTAAGCCATCTGAAGATGCGGACATTTTAGGTCCTTTAGGCAGACGGCCCGGTGGCCCTGTACTGGAATCCCTGGAACGTTAAAAGTGCTTAAGTTGGGCTTTGCCTTTGTCCACAAAAGGGGCTACTTCAACTGAACGGCTTGCCATTCCAATGGTGCACGACCGCAGATGCCGGCGATAGGACACCCTGCTGCCGCTCGGAGAACGCACTTCACGAGCACTAGGGGTAAGGGTGTAAACTTCAGTGTAAAGTCCTACAGGTCCTACAGCACTATTCCAACATGCAAAGCCCCCAATAGAAGCCCAACAAGGCCCGCTAAAAAGCAATTCTTGGGACTGACAGATGCTGCACCCCGCCAAAACCCTAAACTCTAAATTGTGCTACGCCGCAAGATCGGATGCTTCCTCTGGCCTAAAGCTCAAACAAACCAACACCTAAACAATACCTAAACAGTGCAAGCTCTCAGGGCTTAGCATCGGATCTGACACCGCTTGCAGGCAAGGCATGCGTGGAAGTGTTAAGTTTTCAAGAACTCACAACGTCCCATCAAAGCTGTGGTACGTTACCGCCTCACGCACGTGGAGAACCCCCCTGCTCGAACCTGGAAGTTGCTTCTGTAATCAGGGCGCAGGCCTTTAGCTGAGTGTGCTGCGAATGGCCTTTTCTTTCAGTTTCTGCAAGGTCTGCAAAGATGGACGATGGGAGTGTCGAGGATGGTGAGGTCGCCACCCTCCGCAAGACTGCAACAAAGCCCCGGGACCGATTGTGGAAGGGGGTGAGTCTGACGCAGGGCGGTCGACGAAACTGGGTTGGGCCTAAGCTGCTCGTGCCTCTTAGCACGAATGGTTGAAGTTGCCGTTGGGGTTGACATCTCATCTTTGTTTTCAAGCTTAGCGAGGTCAGGCCATTCTTCTGTCAGCTCCTGGCAGCCTTGAGCGTGTTTGACTTGGCATTGCGATTGTACTTGTATTGGTGTTGGCACCAGCTTCTCAGCTTTCGTGTGTTTGCGCATATAGGGAGGGTGGGGATCTGCAGGTCTTACATTAGACGATGAAGGGTTTGAGCATACCAGCATACGTTGCCCGATTTGGTCTGAAGCCGAAGTGCGAGTCGCCAAGTGGTGTCGATGCACTTCGAGTTTTTCGTTGATGGCCTGTTCCCGTGCTCCTGTTTCCAAGGCTTGTGCGAGCCTCTGGGGAGCTTTTCCCTGCCGAGCACCTTTCCAAGGCCTTGAAAGGCGCCTTGTCCGGTCCGGAAGATGCCGGTAAGACGTGCTGAAGCGCGTGTAACCATGAAGGAGTCACAAATCTCTACTCGGTACGGCCGCAACCTTAACCTTGCTGGAGCTGGGCTCCTGTGGACAGGTGTGGAGTCAGCTGTTGTCCGGCCTGCGATAACCCGACTGGAAGCTGAGAGCGGTGCGAGCGCAGCAACAGCAACTCGGTCTCTGTGGGGCATTGCTTGGGGTGGAGGAAGTGTTCACCTCGTCTCTGCTCGCATAATGCAAGTTGTCCTGGGCAAGGTCTTGAACCACAAATGCTGCACCAGAGATAGGCCTGTCGCAATATCACCCAGATCGTACATCCCAAAGCTTAAACTGAAGCTTAAGGCTGAAAAAGAGCCAGCATAAAGAAGTGGCCTCGTTGCTGTGTCGATCTCCCTTCCGGATCCGAAGCCACACCGAGGGCTCTGCAGATGCACGGAAGCAGCGCCTCCGAGCACAGTGTGGGGCCTTGCATCGCCAGCTTATGGACAAGAAGGTTTCGATGGGGCGGAGGGGGGAAATCTTTCAGTTCTGCGCGGGTTTGCATTCCCTCTGGTTACTCTCCCGGGGATCTCTGCGGTTGCAGGGTCCACTGAGATCATTAGAACCATTAGAACTAGCAAGAACCCAGCCAAAAAAAGATGCCACTGCCGCCTGCGTAATCTTGTTCGAAAGGCCAACGAGGACGGTTTCCTCTCAAACGTGATGACATTCTTTCGCGAAGAAGATGCAAAGGCCATGAACCACCGCACCCTGCTGATGGTTGGATTTGATTGGTTTTCGCGGATTCGCAAAAAGCTCACCTTGTGTGATGCGCACCCGTTGTCCCGCGGTTTGTCATCCTTACTGCCGAGAAAGTGTGTGGCTGTTCCAGCACGGCTGCCATTTCGGGCTTGCGAGCTACGGGTTGAGTAAATTTTCGCTCGCCGCAACCGGTCTCCTGCAGTCCGAGGCATGCAGATTCAAGACCAGTTGGATCAGTTCGAGGCAGACTTGCCGGTTCTGCAGACTGGAAATTTTCTGAGGGCTTTCGGAATGACTTTCGGGCAGTCTGACGAAGAATCTTTTCGACATGGGTGTTGTGTCGCTCCTTCTCCACGACAAAAGCCCCTGTGGCTGGCGGCACTCGAAGCGACCTTGGAAGGAGCTTCGTGCGCACCAGGCTCAACAAGCAAAGGAGGAGGAGGCGCTGAAGGCGGGTTCCCGAATCAAGTCATGTGACAGGCAAGCGAGTTCTCCCGGATTTGAGTGTACATTGAGTCAATTGAGTGAGTGAGTAAGGCCTAGGGGTTCCAGACATCCCACACCTGCAGGCTGCGAACTAGACAAATGGCGGCAGTAAGACTCAATTATACACTCAATGCAGATATACAGGAGTCCCGCATGCACCAGGTCGCCGAAACTCAGGGACAGGTTTAATGAGGAGCCCTGATCCTGGGGGAGCCATCAAGCAATCAAGCAGCTAATCAGCCAACCAGCCAACCAGCCAACCAACCAGCCAATGAGCAAATCAACCAATCAACCAATGACTCATTCATTTGTTCATCCAGTCAGTCAGTCAGTCAGTCAGTCAGTCAGTCAGTCAGTCAACCAATCAATCCGACACCATACGTATGTATGCATGTATGTATGCACGTATGTATGCAGGTATGTATGTAGGTATGTATGTATGTATGTATGTATGTATGTATGCATGACTTAGGTATACCTGTTCGTTGGTATGTCTACGTAAGTTAATGACTGTTCATGTCCGTGTGGATGTACATGCATATGAGAAAGTGCACGTGCATGTGTATTTGTAAGCTTATGTTTAGTTATATGTGTACGTGTATGTGTATGTGTTTAGGTAGGTAGGTAGGTAGGTAGGTAGGTAGGTAGGCACGCAGGCAGGCAGGCAGGCAGGTAGGTAGGTAGCTAGGTGGCATGTAGGTATGTATGCAAATATGCATGTACCTAGGTAGGTATGTAGGCAGAATGCTTATCATTGTTTGTTGCTTATATTTATTTTGGATTCTTTTGATGAGGGGGGTTGGCTTTTGGTTTCTTGGCTTCTCTTGGCTTCCGGGCCTTGGCTTCTCGGCTTTCTAGCTTCCTGGCTTTTGGATTCTTGACTTCCGCACCTCGACTCGGGCTTCCCGATCTTCCTCGGCCCCGGCCTCGGCTTTTCGCTTAGTAGCTTTCGGCTGTGGGCTTGTCGTTCTTTATTATGATCTGGTTCAGAACCGCCGGCGATTAAAATCATTGGTTTTCTATGCTCGCCTGTCCTTTACTGGTAGGATACCTGTTGCCATTACTGCGGCCACAATAAGTACAAATCCGGTTGTTGTTGCTATTGCTACATTTCTTTCGTGTCGTTGTCGCTGTGAGTGCTACGCTCATACTTCTGCTGTTGCTGCTACTGCTACTACTGCGACTACGACTGCCACCACCACTACCACTGGTTGCATCAGTCGGTATTGCAGCAGTTCCTCCATTGCAGTCTTGCGAGAAGTATCGTCTTTTGCCAAGATGGCTTTTTCACCTTGACGGTTCCAGTGACTGTTAGTCACTGTTGCGACTTCATGTGCTATATTTTGTCTCGGTTGCTCTTAGACGATTGTTTATACTATCGCCCACGTTCTTACGATGACTAGTGTTGCTGCTATTACCAGTGTTATTGCTATTCGCATGACGAATCCGATTGTTTGACGAATCCGATTGTTATTTTATGTTTATCACTCTTATCGCTGCTGCTGTTGCTATGACGTTTTAATACTGCTTGTTACAGAGGACTGTTGTGAATCCCCAATAGACATGCCTTTTTCCCCCCTGTTGTTATTATTACCACGAGGATTACGCATTCGGTTATGGCCTCTACTACTGCGACCCCTGCCACCCTGCTGGCAACGTCTCCCTGCACCACAAGCCCCACCAACGAAAGACGGTTCCCCCGATGCAACCATCCCATAGTGTGACAGGTAGGTAGGTATGCAGGTATGGTTTGCATGTATATAAATGGAACGAAGGATGGATGGATGGATGGATGGATGGGCATACATGATATATATATATATATATTTATTTATATATATATATATATAATGTGCATTACTTGTCTCCTGATTGTCGGCTAGGTAGGTCTGGAATTGGGGGATCAGTTTTGCGATCGTAAGAACTGCCCTGAGGCCATTTATCCGTGGCCATTTTGGCACGAGCCGATCGGCCGTGCCCAAAAGAACCCACCCACTCCGCCCTTTTCTGTTCTT